AGGTCATTTGCTTGATTTAGAATACTCTTAACTTTTAATTTCAATTCATGTCATAAGTATTTTCCCAAGACACTTGATAATTCAGGAGGCAACAAGTTGGAAGATGATATGAGTTAATTACATATAAGTCAAGATACAAAGCTCAAGTCTATTATGAATTTGAAGCTCATTCAGGAATCAAGGTGTTCAAATATTCATGTCCGTTCATCTTTCCAAGTTCATCATTTCACGATGCGAGCTCAAGACATCAAGGATTTAAGATCCATTTAGATTCAACGTTTTCTTCACAAAATCATTCATGATTTCAAATTCACTCATTCAATAAGGCATGAGATCAAGAAGCAGTGTTTGGCACGAATCAGGGTTTCATAATGTTTTGAGATACATATCAATAAAGCCTGGTCCTTCTGTTTCTTCTTCAAGCAGTGAAATATGGAATTAGTGTTTTTATTCATGACTACCAAGATCTTATTCTCTTAAAACTAAAAGGTTTTGGTCCTCTTATCATCTCAATATCATTTTCTTCGCCAAAGAATTCTCTCAAGGGGGTTAATTTTGCGTTGAGGTTATTGGTTTTCAAACCAAGGATTTTTTTCAAATGTTTTTTTACTCATCATGTAAGTTTAGAGTGGATTGGAATATTTGGATCGAAGAAAGATTTTCTTTAGAAATTGATAAATTTGAGTTGACTACTTGATGCCTTGAGGTCAAATTATACAAGAGTATATGTTTTGGACATAATATCAAAAGTTGATTCAAGCTTTAAATTCAGAAGAAAGTGAGCATTATTAATATTGAAAAAAATTATCATTAAAATCAAGATGTTTCAAATCACATTGCAAGAGCTATTACATGAATGTCATTCAAAGAATCAACCAAAATCCCTTTCACTCAAGACTTGTTACAAGTCTAATTCATGTCTAGGTTCTTGAAGTTCAAGTTATGAAGTTAAAGCATAAATCTTGATTCAATGATCAAAGTGTCCATTGCAAAAACTATTTCAAGTCTTCCAAGTTCAAATCCAAGACATGTTCACCACATCACTTAAGATTTTATTCAAGTTTCAACCTTACTCATTTTCAAACAATATTTAACTTCTCATCCAAGTTCAAGACTTTTGATTTTATCCCAAATACCAATGGCTTTCATTACAAAATACAAAACAAAACAAAAGGACAAAATAATCTGTCTACAAGTAACAAAGTCCTATTGCCTTGTTCTTGTCCAAGCTGCTCCAAAACCAGCCTGATGTTGCTGCCTCTACATCAGTCCAAAAACTGCTGTTGTTGCTGCCCCTGCATCAGTCCAAAACCTGCTGCACATGATGTCCAAAAACCTACACAAAGCAGTCCAAAAACTTTCAAAACTTGTCCATTGCAAAACCCTGCCACAAACAGCCCTAGACCTGTTGTTGCCCCTGCATATACCAGTCCTACAAAATAACAAAACATGCATAAAAATGAAGAAAAAACAAAACCTGCATTGATAAAGCAATAAAAATAGTACATCAATTCCAATTACCCACAGGACCACCAGGAAATATAGATCATAAAGCAGCCTCCGTGATCGGCACTCTCCTCCTTACAACGCAACCAACATGACTACCACTGGAAACGACTCCTTCTCTGATCGACGCCTCAAGCCACAAAGCTCTGACGACCGAGCAGCAACGACATTGTGATGCAGTGGGAGAAATAACTTGAGTTTTTTTTTGCGTTTGATCGCAAATGTTGCGGTTTAGCAAGAGTCGCCACCGACTTTTCTTTTATCCAAAAGGAAAGGTGAAAAAGCACAGGAAATACCTTTGAGATTGTTTCTTGAGTTCGGGGGGTAGATTATGAAAAGGGAAGGTATTAGCACCCTTCTCATCCATGGTTATCCATGGGCTCTTAGTTACTTTCTAGATCACTTGCTTTAGTTTGAAATTGTGCTTTGTGTGGTTTTTTTGAAAGTATTTTGTAAATAGGCCATTGTTTAGGCAATCTTTGTAATGATTCTTGTTCGTAAGAATGTATACAAAGATGTTTGATCTTTTGAAAATGTTTTCGATTTTGTAAGATGTTTTAAAAGTGGATGTGATTATTTTAAAAAATAGCAAGGATGTTTGTTTTGAAATAGAGCAAGTAGTTAGGAGCAATATACCTACTTAAATATCTTTCTTATTCATTTCCTTTTCCTTTGACATTGTTGTCTTACCATTAATTTGGTAAGCAACCTTATCTTTGGATGTAAACGGGACGGGCGTGGGTCATCGTATAACCATGATTAGCAATGTTGCAAGGTATCTTAGCATTATTTTTGAGGGACTAAGATCATTTTGTAGGGCAACTTTCAATAGCGTCATCGAGGGACTATGATCTTGTATTTGTTTGTTTTTTCTAAGATACCTTACATGCGTAATATGGCCATTTTTTTGTAAGGCAACCAAGTGGAATAACCCTAGGGGTGCTTATGTGCAAGTGTGTCATTTTCATGCTTGTTTTGTCTTGGATTAGGGTGATCTATTTGATTGGTTTTATTCTTTCCATACAAACTCTAATTACTAGCATGTTATGTAAGAGCGATAAATTGCTAATTTAAAGTTACTACGCTATTACAACATTTATGGGAGAGGGGTATACAATTTATGAATGGGGTTTGCAATAAT